AGGGTAACATATTACTGTGTTGATAAAGTTTATAAATCATACTACTAAATGTTATTATTTCTTTAATTAAATAACAAATCTAAGTGACAAATCCCAGTGGTGAACGGAGCTCTGCAAAATACGACATGTCACAATCTTACCCACAGAACTGTCAGGCCTAATCATCAGGGCTCTTTGGCACCGCAAACGTGATGGCTTACAGTGTTGCCACACATGCACATAGGCATGAAAGTCTGTGTTTGAAAACAGTGCTGAGTAGCTGTGCCAAAGTGACAGGCAGCCAAAGAGGACAGCTGTAGCCTGGAGTACTTACACACACTGTGATGTGTCTGGGCGACTGAATCCCAAATGGAGAAATCCAGGAAATATTTGTGCTTCGCTGCCTCTCATGTGAAGTCAGTCTCACACACATGCTTTCAAAGAGAAAGTCATCCTATAATTGATCACACACAGATGATTTCACCATCCTTTGCTGTAATTGCTTGGCTAGCGGGGAGGGAGGGGGGATAGAAGATTCTTTTATATGAAATATTGAAATAACAAATCCAGGGCTCGGGGTGGACATTAAGAAGAGGAATGTGAGCGAAAAGTCATCAGCTGGCCCGCGGCCCGGTATCCGTGGCTGAGGAAAAGCCTGCAGTCATCAGAAAGTGGACGTATTTACTGCTCTGCCTCTCGCAGAACGAAAGCGAGAGTGAAAAATGACTTTGTTTGTGAATCAGAGAGTAGCTAATCAGATCTCACTCTCATTCCATTGCTCACTATATATACTTTATTTCAGAACCTCCCCCCTTTTCCTACAGGCATTTGAGGACAGAGATACACTTCTGACACCCATTTGGATGCTCACGTTATCCTGTGGAAATCCTTTACATGTTGATAGATAGGATTTAATGCACCTACTAGCCCAAAATGTAAATTCTGTCATCATTTACTCGCTCTTGTCATCATCATTTTCTTTTCGGCTTAGCCCCTTTATGAATCCAGGGTCGCCACAGCAGAATGAACTGCCAACTTATCCAGCAAGTTTTTACACAGTCGATGCCCTTCCAGCCGCAACCCATCTCTGGGAAACATCCACACACACATTCACACACACACTACGGACAATTTAGCCTACCCAATTCACCTGTACCGCATGTCTTTGGACTGTGGGGGAAACCGGAGCACCCGGAGGAAACCCATGCGAATGCAGGGAGAACATGCAAACTCTACACAGAAACACCAACTGAGCCGAGGTTCGAACCAGCGACCTTCTTGCTGTGAGGCGACAGCACTACCTACTGTGCCACTGCCTCACCCTACTCGTTCTCGTGTCATTCCAAACCTGTTTGACTTTGTTTATTATGAGGAACACAATAAGTAGTTACCTATCAGAATGCCTAAGCTGCTCTTATTTCAAACAGGAATTGTTCACTCAGAAATCTAAACTTGAAAATTCTGTCATCGTTTACTTACTCTCATTGTCTTCTAATTCACTCACCTTCTGAATGCAACTGGAGATGTTTATTTTCCTGTTCCTCCATTCAAGCACCAAAACGTTCATGCTTTTGAAAAGTTAATATATACAATGTTAAAGTCATCTTACTATAAATCTTTAAAAAGCTTAGAAAAGGAAGAAGCAAGAACTGCTGGTCAGTAAGTAATAAACTTCAAGATGAAAATAAACGACAAAACAAAAGTAAGTTGTTAACTCCCTTCGACAGTCGCTACTGCATAAACAAACAAACCACCAACATGAATACCCCTGATACTTTATCGTACTGTCTCCTGTTGGCTGACGCTGGCTTCCATGGCTTCAATGGTGCATTCTTCTCTGTTTCTTTACCAACTGCTATCTTCTCCAGACCACAGAGAATCCATCTATTTCAGCACCAGAATCAAAGGTTCAAGTTAGCAGACTCTGGTCATTCCTCCTCTATGGCACCCCAATGGCCCGTTTCAACTGACTGGTACAGTATGGTTTGGTACGGGTCACCTTTATCAAGCTTGCGTTTCCGCTACCAAGGGTACCCTTTTGGTGGGCATGGTGTACGATAGAAAGTTTCAGTCATCGTCATTCTCACTCAAATAAATGTCTACAGTACAGCTGTACAGGTCGTACACGTATCATATGAGAAGCTCTTCTCACAAAACAGATGCTTTATACACATAAATACTTGTGTATAAATGTTTATTTTTAACTTTTCTATGAACATAATTTTATTATAACTGCAGATCAATGATCTACTGTAACGTCTGCAATTATATAAAATAAATAATAAATAATTGCAACATACAGTATATTAACACATACAGACTCTTAAGGTCTCCGATATGTTACTAATGGCAGAAAAACTACACACAGCATACATTTAGTCCTTATTTGGGTTCAAAAACAACACGCAACATAGCCCACAGTCAGAGCAAACTTCTCATCTGTGTCTGTAATCTTCACCAGCACATGTAACCTCTGTTAAAGTAATTCTGTCATTCAGAGTTCATAATAGTCCAACAGGCGATGATAAACATGGCAGTTTGTTCGTGATTCAGGTTGCTGAAACAATTTGCTCCTGTGTTTTGTCGAGCTTCTCCTTTGTTTGTTTACGCTTCACTCTCGTGCTTGTCCTTTTCTTTTCTGAAATTATAAGATGTCGAAGACACTTCAATAATCATGCACATTATTTTCATCAGCTGAAGAAGTACAACCTCATAAACCAATTACAGGACACGGAAGATTTTGCTCTTCTTGGCTTTGTGGCTGTACATCAGGACAACGACAAGGTTTGATTTTTGAAAAAATTTAATCTAACAAAGACTGTCAGAAGTGCCCAATAGTGATAGTTAGACGCTGTTACCCAAATTGATTCTATACACATGATTTGAAGCGAATCGAAAGTGGACACTCTGGGTTTTGGGTGCATGTTTGAACAGACGTGCACACATAATAATAATAACTGCTAAACATGTCGATCTTGGAGTGTTTTCTTTTAAACACAACAAATTTTGTCTTAAATGAGCATATTCTTTATAATAGCTATTAATTTTAATACGCTAAACTGTTTGCTAATTTATTTGCAGCTTTTTCCAATGTATACTATTTATTCTGTGGGAGAATGGGGGTGCGGGGTTATCCCTTATTTTCACATCCTAATGTTGACAGGTATGATCAAAGCTTTGTTGTTACAAATCTTTCACGTGTCCAAGACTTTGATAAAAGGGGGAAAAATCCAGTCTAAAATTACTTTTTATATTGAAAATACATACACCAAATCAGTGACATTGTTTGTCATTCATTCATTTCCTTTTCGGCTTAGTCCCTTTATTAATTCAGGGTCGCCACAGCGGAATGAACTGCCAACTTATCCAGCGGATAGCGGACAGCCCACATAGCCTGCTCTCAATGGACTTTTTTGTTTTTACGCAGCGGATGTCCTTCTAGCCATAACCCATCTCTGGGAAAGACATTGTTTGTATACTTGCCAATTAAAGAGTTAAAATCCTGTATTTTTTTTTTCAAACATTTAGTAGTTTTGTATTAATCTGATGCATTTTTACAGCAGTTTTATTTAGTGGATGTTTTCATCCCAAACATAACAAAAAGATAGTAAATTTGAGCAGTGCACAAGGGTTAAACAATCAAGCAATCAAACAAAACAAAAGTAAGCTTCATTGCCTCATGGTGACTGTTGAATAAACATAGATAAAACACCAGACCTGCTCCTCTCTTGTCTGCCATTGTCATCACTCTTGTTATCATTTGTGGGATTTGAGAAGGGTTCGGTGGCCATTGCCCCATGACACTGGCCTTGCTCTTCTCCCACTGCTTTTATGCCAACCACACTCATCAAAGTTTTCTAAAAAGACATGCTTTATGCTGTATTGTACAGTATTTTTTTTAATTAAGCTTTTGATCAAATACAAACACTGATCAATTGATATGTATAAAGTTTATTAAATAAGGTGCATAAACCGGCACCCGGTACATACTGATTCCAGAGTGCTGGAAAAGAAACTGTGTTTTGTCTATATTTACAGCTGTTATGACAGACAGGGCGAGAGAGAGAGAGAGAGAGAGAGAGAGAGAGAGAGAGAGAGAGAGAGAGAGAGAGATTATATTATTGATATATTGATAAATATGATGTATTGTTAAAATTGTATTTAATTATTATATATAAATACCACCCTTTTTTACTACTATTTACTGTGTGTACTGTTTTTAAATTATTATTATATAGGTATGTTACTTTTTATGTAAACTTTATAACTGCTTTGGCAATACATTTGTAACATTTGTCATGCCAATAAAGGAATTATTGAATTGAATTGAGAAAGAGAGAGAGAGAGAGAGAGAGAGAGAGAGAGAGAGAGAGAGAGAAAGAGAGAGAGAGAGAGAGAGAGATAGATAGATAGATAGATAGATAGATAGATAGATAGATAGATAGATAGATAGATAGATAGATAGATAGATAGATAGATAGATAGATAGATAGATAGATAGATAGATAGATAGATAGATAGATAGGCAGACAGGCAGGCTGTGAAAGCAATGTTTTCCTCTGTCCATGTTTTTGGCTTTGCTTTGGAATTCATCTATGCTTTGGAATTCGCAGGCTCATAAAATTGTGTCGTATATCACTGAGTGTGAATGATTATCACATGAACTCACTCATGACATCTGTGTGGACGTACAATTATCCAATTATCAGAAGAGGTGTACTATTCCTTTGTGTTGTTGACTGGCCGTTTTTATTCTTGAAAAGTCACTTTGAATATTCTGCTGAGCATCTGCTTTGTTTTCAATGGAATTAAGTAGGTAATCCTCCAAGAGCTGTTTTGTCACGTGTGCAATGTGTAAAATGAAAAGTATAGTTTTTTTAAGATTGAAGGTTATTGCATGTGCCAAGCCATGTCAGAGCTTGAATTGTGTGCTGATATGAATCTAACTGAGTGTTATTTTCCACCCTGCTTTGGCTGAACTAGTACATTATGTAAGATCTTTGATTCTCTGTTTGTTTCAGAACACTCTGGAGACCTGCAACATATGTTATAAGCCCATAATGGAGCGCATTCTGAGGGCTACTGGGAAGGCCTATCATCCCCAGTGCTTCACCTGCGTGGTCTGCCATCGGAGTCTGGACGGCATTCCCTTTACTGTGGATGCCTCCAACCACATCCACTGCATCGAGGACTTCCACAAGTATGACCTAAAACACATATATATGCTCGATAAATCCTGAAAAAGTATTAACAACAACTTTTTCTTTGTACATGTAGTACATAACATGTCTTTTTTAATTAGCTCTGATAAATGTATAACTTACAAAATTCATCAGGGTCCAAATATGTTCTATAAAAACTTTTTTTTGTTCAGTTAGTGTGTACCTTTTAAATAGCATATTCAAAGCTCTCCTATTATTGAAGAAAATAGTTTGTTGTTTGTTTTAAGGAATTGAAAAGTTTCAGAAGGAATGCATGATTGTGAGACTGTGACCGCAACAGAAATGCTATTGTGTCGAGGAACAGTTGTGCCATACTTTGACTTCACTCATTGTTACTAGTGTGGATTAATCAAACCACTGTCTGCCAAACTTCCTCATTTTTACTTTTTGTTGGTAAAACCCAATGAAGAAGTTGAATCAACTGACTGCATTTTGCTTTGTGTATATTGTACATCCTCACTGCCTCTTTCTGTTATCTTAGGTTCCTCCACAATGTATTAATTGTGCAGCTTTCTAAAGCATTTGTCTTTGAGTTTAGTTCAATAGGGAAATATTATCAGCTTGTTGATTAATGATAGCATTTCCTTTAGATAATAATCAAAAATGTATTTGTAAACTGTGTTTAAGAGTTTAAGAAACCCTCGAGTACTTTGTTGAGATTTCAACAGATTTGTGTGTGTTGAGCATCGTTTAAGACAAAGTTAGCCCCTGTTAGCTTTACTTTTGATAATTTTGAGCTTTTGTCAGCTAATTTCATCTTCCAGATTTAAAATATTTGTTGGGGTGAGATCAAAATCGGTGATGTAGTGCCAATCTGCCTGTCCAGAGATGACGTGTCGGTTTTTCAGTATTATTTTTAGCTGAGTTCTCTTATTGTATGAGAAGACATGCTTCTTAGGTAGTCATGAGAGCACATGCTTCTCTGAAGGCAAGGCAGACCTGCCAAGCTGTGAGACCATGGCACAGCACGGCACGCAGTAGCCTATTTAGCCGTTTATGAAGGGTCGTATGGGTTTGTTTCCATGTGTCCATTTGGGTTTGTTGCATGTTTTTCCCTGCAATGCTATCAGGGCCAATACAGCAAAGCTGTTGGTTTACAGCAAGCTTTTTTTGCCAGGAGAGCTGTACGAAAATTGGAGAATGGCGGGCTGTCTTTATCAGTTGAGTTCTTTACCATTCAGACACATCACTTATATCCATGCTGTTGTGTTCGCCATATGTTTTAAATCCTCCGGATTACCGGCAAGGCTAATGTGTTGGAATAGATAGGGAAAGAACTGCTGCTCTGCTCCACTGTGTTTTCATTCAGACCCGGAGATTCAGGAGGATAGAGGTCCTCCGTATGTTTATTTAAAATTACAAATAACAAAATTTGCAAGGGGTTAAATCATTTACGGTAATTCTGTATACTGTATTTCTTTGCATTTTAACTTTGTAAACAGTAAAATCATGGGTCTCCTCACAATTTGTCTCATTTTGTGAGCCAATACACAGTTTTCATTTTCCCCTGCTCTGCCAGCCACGCCCACTCCTGAATCATCATGAAGCATTTTTTTTTTTATTCGGAGATAGATTTCAACTAAAAGAGAGGGGTTTTATGACCCTTTCAACACAGTGGTATCTGGAGCAGACATTTGCACAAAATGTTATTTTTAATAACATACAGCTTTAAAGAAATAGTTCACCCAAATAGTTCAATTTACTCCTTCTTAAGCCATTCGAGTTTTAGGAGATTTTTTTAATCTCCAGCAAAAATGATTTAAAACTCATGTGTGCAAATGCTATTAATAAAATACATGTATGAGCAAAGTTTGAGATATAAACAAACTATGGTATATTCAGATAAAATTTAAAAAAAAATCTGTCACACTATATTTTAAGTTGCAATTACTGCTATTAATAAACCATTAACTAAAACTTTTAGATTAAAAGAGTAGTAATTTCATGTTTAAAATGGTTAGTAAGATAGTAGATGTGTTTCAGTATTGAGCAGGATTAGGGATGTAAAATAAGATTATATTTTATAAGTACTAATAAACAGCCATTATCTTAGGTTATCCATTATCAGCCTTTATCTTATCTTATCTATAAGCAGGTGATGAGCCATTCCTGAAAATCGGTATTTATACCAAAGTCACACGTCTTTGTCTATTTTATACATAACATGAATAAACTACAAAAGTTTTCTGTTATCATTAAGTACTGATTTAAGTGCTGATGTTTTAGTCTGCTATTTTAGTCTTTTTGAATAATACACTTGAATAATACAATTCAGCTAACAGCTGTTAGACATCTTTACAGCAAACATGTCTCTAAATTAAATTTCCTTATCAGGGAAAGAAAACTAAAGCAACACATCCCGTTACATGATCTTCCATTAATACAAAAACTTTTTAACTAGGCTATTAGAAAACATCCTTAAAGTTTAGCTCTGTATAAGTCTTCTCAAGTCACCCTTATTTGTCTTGAAAGGGTCTTAAATTTGACTTGAAGAGACCTGCAGAAACCCTGGTATTATTTATACACAAAACTAACATGCTATCTTAATACTTTAATGCATGTTTGAATAAACTTGAGAAACTAAACTAAAAAAAGTAAAAACTAAACTTTGAACTTGAGCTGAAATATTAGCCATATTAACTGACTGTATGTGTGGTAATATGTGCGTGCAAGTGAGAGTCCTTGTCTGACTGTCTGAGGTTTTTGTGTTGCGTGAGTGAGCTCTTGTTTGTGTGTGTTTGTTTTCTCTGAAACCAACCAAAATCTGATCAGCCAGTTCCTCTTATCCACTAATGCTATGACATGATACAATAGGTCAATTCAAAGGCCTTCACAAGCCAACTTTGGCCTGCAATTTTTAGTGTGGGCTACTTTGTAGCTACTAGAGATTATTTAGTTGTAATTTATTCTCTGTTTTTCCTTTATCAGGAAATTTGCTCCTCGTTGCTCTGTGTGTAACGAGCCCATAATGCCAGCACCTGGTCAGGAGGAGACTGTGCGTATTGTTGCCTTAGACCGTGACTTCCATGTGCAGTGCTATCGCTGTGAGGTGAGTCAAAGTGCTTGTGTGTGGTTGCTATTATTTAACACTTTAAAGCAAAACAAATACACTATTTCTATCTATATCTATTCTCAAAATAGGATTGCGGCTGTCTTCTCTCTGAGGGAGACAACCAGGGTTGTTACCCTCTGGATGGCCATGTCCTCTGCAAAAACTGCAACACCAGTCGCATCCAGGCCCTCACCGCCAAGGCCACGACTGACCTCTGAATGGCTCACACGTGTACATGCAGGTCCCCTAAAATCCCTGCACTCATCAAAACCTGAGAATCACCATATCCTGTCATATCACTGCACACAAATATTTATGCCCAGACAAATGCACACATACACGTAAAGCTGTCTTTCCACCAATATAAGGTGCCTTGTATTAAAATTGCACTCATTTATTCTGTCCGGCCTTTTTTTATTAGTGGATATATTAATCAAAGCTACAGCTACTTTTAAACACCTTATTGAATATATCTTAAAATAGAGCATGAAGGTTAGATTCTAATTAACAAAAAAAAAAAAAATGGGAGAAACTCTTCATAGAACATCATAGAATCTACCTCTAAAAAGGGACTATGCTCTCTGATCACTACACATTCCACTGTATAAATATAAATGATACAGAAAATAGCTTTCACTTTGTTTGTGATTTTTACGCCATATTGTGTCCAGTATGGTGATGGTGGTCTATAAACGCCAGTTTAGACTACATAGACAGACACTAACCAACATGGAAAACCACCTGATTGTAGTAAATAAATTTAAATAATAAATAAATAGTTTAAATAGAAAAGAAATGTCATGATCCAGCAAGTGCCAACTTGACATGGATAGTGATAATACTGATCCATCGAATCCTAAAATGAAGTGTCTGTTGCTGTTGGTTGTTTTGACAGTGTAAACAGGCCTTTTAAAAATCACTTTCACATTGAGAGCTATTCGCAAAAAAAGTATACACATGCACATACACTGCAATGACTTTTTCAAATAATGCAAACAAACATTTCATTGCACATTGTTGAAACATTTAAAAGGATAGTTTGTATCCCCAGAATGAGAATTTGATGTGAATTTACTCACCCTTATGCCATCCAAGATGTAAGTGACTTATTTCTACAGCAGATATATGCAGACTCATATAATGAATATCAGTGTTTACCAAAACATAAACATGCAAACCAAAGTTAAAGGGATATTCACACACTCTCAAGTGGTTTCAACGCTTTATGACTTTCTTACTTCAAAAAGAAAGCAATCTGGAGAATGATGAAAACCTGTAACCCTTGACTTCAAAGTGGGGAAAACTAATACTATGAAAGTCAATGGTTACAAGTTTCCAACATATCTTATTTTGTGTTTAACAAAGGAAACTCCTGTAAGTTTTGAAACAAGTAAAGGATGTTTTTTGTGTTAACTCTCTCTTTAATGTTGGACTGCTGATACTCTTATAAGGTCTTATGAAGCCAAACTTTCACTTTATGCAACTAATGTTACATTATTAACAACATTATTAACTTTGATCCACAGTCTCGACAAACCATTTTGAGCATACTCACTCAAGCTTCCTGTCTCACAATAAGTTGTTTCAAATGTTGGGACTCTGTGAAGTTCTTTTGATGTTATACTGCAAAAGAACAGCAAGCGTGTAATTCTGTGCATGTCATTGATTGAAAGGAGACTCACGCTCCAGAATGTTCCCAGCACCATTTGGGGCTTTTTGGGAGCTAAGGCTATGGATTAAAGGTGATTGTAAATAATGTTTTTTTATTTTTTTATTTTTTATTTTTTGGGCAGACTGGGCATTTTGTATAGTGGCTAAGAGAGCTGCAAATTTAAGAAAACACCTGCTATACCAAAAAGAAACGGCAGCAAATTAATTAAATCTCAAAGATCTTCATCTGTTTGATAGCACACATGCTGCAAATCCTCAACGCAAACACATTTAAAAAAAAAAAAAACAGGCTGCATTTTCTCACAATGCAAACAATTTTTATGAATTTGTTTGCAGTGTGTGTAAATGCAGCACGTTTTTAACGTGTATCTATTGTGAGGATTTGCACCACATGTGCTGTTAAATGGATGAAAATTATTATTGTTTTTTTTTACCATAGTTTTGCTTCATAAGACCTCAATGTAACCGTGAAATGAAAATGAAAATTCTGTCACTTTTGACTCGCCCTCAGCTTGTTATAAACATGTACCTGTTTAAATGTCTTTCTTCTGATGAACACAACAGAAAATATTTTTAAAGAAATGGTAGACAATGCTACAAGTGTCCAACATTCTTCAAAATATCAAAATAATATTTTTATTTAACTGAAAAAAAGAAACTCATAAAGGATTAGAACCATATGAGAGTGAGTTGATGGTGAGTTGATGGTGATCTTTTTTATTATTCTCAAAAAAATGCAATTGCTTTGTCATTGATGTCCATTACATGAAGGACCATGCTTTTAGCTATTAAAAAAATAAATGTTGATGTTCAACTTTAGTAAATATTTCTAAAATAACAAAATAAGTCACCCAAACACTATTCCTCGAATGTTCAAGTGTGAGTACGTTACCAGCTATTTGAATTTTGGGTAAACTACCCCTTCATACCTTCTTATGGCGGCTTTTGAAAACTGAGGTTTCATGATTACTAAGGTACACAAGATACATTATACCGGTATAGAGCAACTTTGATCTCAAGCATCACACCTTCTTGCCTCTGACCACATACAGTACAAGTGTATGTTTGTGAATGCATAACCTTTATTTTTAAAATCACCCTTTGAGATGAAAGTTACCAAAGACCTATACATTTACTTTCTCTGGGACAGCGTGTATGTATATTATTGTATGCTTATGAAATCTAATGGGAAGAGTATTTTATGCTGAAAGGACTGTGAATGACCTTATAGCTCAGAAGCCTAAATGGTTCATTCAATGGGGTTTCCTGTTTCTTCCTCTGTTTACCGCCTCAATTCAAGTGATATTAGAAAGAATTATTCTTCGCTTGAAACCTTTTTGTGTTTGTGGTTTGGTGTTATTTTTCTTCACTTATCATTTATATGTATATCATGTGTGAAAATGGTGAAAAGTCTAGGGATGAAATGTATGTATTTTCAAAAATGTCACAGCAGATTAAGAATCGTTTCGTGTCAGAGGGGACAAAAGTGTTAGATTAGGTTTAAAGTGTGACAATCAGGGCTGAACGGATGTTGGAATTGTGTTTTATTTTATCTCATTTGACTTTACGGGCTGATGAGATATACAGCCCGATGAGCAATATTTGAAATATCCTCAAATTGTGAATTTATCATAGTATTAGTTTCATGAAATAGAGGCAAAAGTATTATTAAAATATAGGACAACCATTTAGGAATAAGAATTGTTCTTTTGTGGATATCATTATGCAAATTTGTCTTTGTTGTTGCATTGACACTTTACTAAGAAGGATATGCAGACTTTTTTTATTCGACTAGAAAGTGTTTGAGCTGTTCTTAAAGCTACAGTGCACACATTTGGGAAAATCTAAAAATCCTGTACATATATATCTACAAAATGGCGTATTAAATGTCGAGGTTTAGAGAGTTAACACCTCAAGTAATTTGCCGTCATATCAGCGAGCTGCAGTGCCGCCCTGAGGCACTTTTCCTCTGCTTGAAGGGTAAATTCAGATCTGAGAGTCGTGATATATATGCAGACCGGATATAAATAATCGGTAACAGCCCCTTCTTGATTTATTACGGCAGTTTGTGGGTTTTTCAGTGTGTAAAATGAAATGTGCTGTAGCTTTAAGTGACGAGAGCTTCATTAGTGCTTCAATCTATACCTCCTTTTCTTAGTACCTTTTCTATAAGTGCCTTTTTTTAGCCTGCTTGGAGCTTAGGTGGTGTTGTTTGAGCACAAACACAGCTGTGACTTGTAGCTGATGTTGCGTGTTGAGGGATGCGATGTTTGAATGGTCTGTTTTGTTGTTGTTTTTCACACTACCTAGAGGCTATGCATGTTCGCTACTTGAACCGAACTTTATTTCCAGTTTTTATATAGAAAGACCAAATATTTTCAGACTTAATTAGACGTTTGGATGTGTTATGCCTTTAAAGCATTAGGAGTGTTATTGGAAAGAGAATTATTGCTGTATTACTTGGCAAAATTAGGTTGCCCTTTCTTCCTTTTGCTTTACTACTTATTCCCAAGGCCCACCTCAAGTTGTTTTTATTCAAATTGCTTTTCGATTTGATTTGAATTAGAGCGAGGCTTCATCTGTCAAGCATTTATTGCTCTTTTAGGTTGTTCAGGTTGATTTGTTCTGTTCAAGTGCTTGATCGGGCTGCGATTCAAAACATGTATCAAGTTTTCTATTTGCGATCGTTACACAAGCAATAACCTGATGATTATGTAAAACTGTTGTTGCAGCAAATGCTGAATACCAGCGTTTAAATGTCTTAAAAAGAAATGCTATGGGTTTTGTGGTAAGGAAATTTGAGCTGTCATATATAGGGCACTTTGATGTTTGTTTCTTTCATGAAGAAATTATATCGTAAAAGAAGCTAATCTGTGCTCTAGTGACACTCTAATTATATACTTGCATTCTGTTCTTTCACTCTGATGTTTTTCATCACATAAAATTTCCTCTATAATTAATAAACCTTTTAACAAACTCTACAGTGATGTTTTTTTGTTGTCAGTTATTTTTTTTCTCTATTTATAAACAAATTTTGGGGTGTGTAGTAGTAGTGGTACACTAAAAAAACCTTCATGGGATTTACTAAGTGTTTCAGACACAGACTCTTCTTTATTATCCCGTTTAGAGAAACTAAAATTGCAGCAAGGTGCCTTAACACAAGCAAAGTTTCATGTACATGTAAACAAAATATTTCAACACAACATACAATACAATACATTATTTTTGTAGGTGCATCTCCCTCCTCACTGGACTTATTTAATGACCTAATGGCCACTAATTCTATTTGTCCTGCAAATAAGAACTCTAAAACGACGTCCTGATGACAGCAGAGTACAATAGGTGATCCAGGGTGCATAGGATGAGCCCTCTTTAAAACATAATTATGGTAAATTATCTTTGGACCAGTTTGGTTAAAACTGATGATCTTGCCTTTCACCTTCACAAGGCTACTCAACCTGTTCTTGTTTGACAAACTCAGATTACCGTACCAAGCTATAATGCAGAAAGATAAATCAGATTCAACAAATTGTTTATAAAACAGTGTCATCAATGAGGTACAACCCCGAAACGATCTAAGTTTTTAAGGTATGATTTTAAGGTAAGTGGTTGCAAACGATTCATGTGGGCTGAATTTAAACAAACAAATTAAGTTGAACATTTGTTTGTTTAAATTCAGCCCATATAAATAGTTTGTAACTGCTTACCTTAAAAGATTTTAGCAAA